GAATTTAGTAACTAATAAAATGATAGCTATAAAAATCTATCACAATTTTAGAAATACAAAGATCACAAAATTTGTGCTAAAATTCTAACTTTAAAAAGGAAAAATATATCTCTTCCTTAACAATTTCTACTCTTGTAATTGCATTTTTATTCTGTCCACTGCTTAGCAAAATTACAAAAGGAGTTAACTACAAGTATATGTCAGCAATTCCTTTTAATAATATTTTAATCCAGCTTTTTTTAGTGCAAGATTTCTACAGAAATTGCCTTTGTTAATTCCAATGATGGTCAATTCTCATTCATCATGTTTCTTGAGACTAATTTTATCCCCAAAACTGCATACATATTTAATCTTTCTTCCAGAAGTTTAATTTAAAAATACATTTTGAATATCCATTTTGAAATTATGATATTACATGTGTGCTTATTAATTGCAATACTAATGGTGATACTTAAAAAACTGAAAATTAAATAAATATCCAAGCACAATAGTTCACAGAAGTATCTATGGCACACAAGCAAAATACATCGCTCTTCAGTCATAAAGTAAGTCCTAAGTAGATATTTTTAAAAAAAGGATTTCCTAGAAACTTTCATGTGATGTCTGGCTCCAGGTCAGGGAAGCAAAGATGTTGCCACTGGGGGACTGCTCTGCTGTCCAAGTAGCCCACTGGGACCATAAACTCAATTCCAATGGAAACAAATTAGAGAGACAAAGTTGACTGAATGGACGACACTTCGTTTGTGAAAAGGAAAAGGGAGAGGAAAGTAGAAGATAGCTACTCTGATAAGGAAGAATAGAAGGGGCTCCAGAAAGACTTTAAGACCCATGAGCCCTTTCTTCCCGGTTACTTTTATGGAGGTAGTCAGAGAGCCTTCCTTCCCACCCGGAACTTGTCTTAACTGGATTGACTTCCGGGGACCAGTGCCTAACGTTATTTCTTCTGGTAGTCTATGTGCAACTTCTTTCTGTCTGTTTCCTTATTCTTTATTTTTTTTCCTCATTGAGTTTATTGGTACATTTTAGGTATACAGTACAGTTACATTCATTATTGGGATCTTGTACCTTTACATGACAGGTCTTGGTTCTCATTTTTTCCCCTTGTCCCTGCCCTCCCTTCTTGACCTACTTTTTAAGGCCTTATCTTTGGGGTGGGTGGCTAGTTGGCAAGAAGGTGTCTTATTCATGTTAGCTTAGAGTTAGTAAGGGTGTGTGTGGATATCTGTTGTACTCTACAGTGACCCTATAGTGCGTAATATGACTCTAGACTGAATACATGTGTGTATATATGTATACACTAGTGCATTGTTAGTGCATAGAATGAGTGCAAACTGCCCTAAAATTAGCCCCTCTTTTCCCTGTTTTGCTTTTCAAAAATTTTATTGAAGATGGGGTGGATTATCATTTGTGTACTCGGCATTTTTCTCTGTGTCCTGCCTGTCAGCTCTTTATTATTATTATTTATTATTATCATTATTATTATCTCTCAGTGCAAGTCCCAAGGTCATTTGGTGCCTTTCTTGATTGGTTTATCTCTTTTTCTAACCTCAGCCTTGACCTGTTTCCCAGAGGAATTTCTCTTGTAAAGTTTGTTTTTAACTCCTTCTAGTCTGGATTAGCTAGAAGATTTAAGAGAGGTCCCTGTTCTATTTTCTCATCTAAAGATTGCTCCATCTATATTAAGAAGTAGGGATAAAGTAACTGAAAGTATTCTACTTACAGATACTTATATATACAAAAGAAATTGTATATTCTACTTAGATATACAATAGAAATTCTACTTATATATACAAAATAAATATGAGAATGGAAAAGCATAGCATGTTGCAGTAGGCTAAAGAAAAATAGAAGTGACAGTAATTAGAATAGGGCTGGAGATTTAGCTCAGTGGTTCTGCTGCCTTCCTTGCAAGCGCAAGGACCTGAATTCAATCCCAGAAGAAAAGAAAGAAAATAGAATACCCAGCGTTTTAAAATTTTTACTTTTGAAAGCATGTTAATCCCTTTCAATATTTTTACTAATTTTAATGAAAAATAGGAATATTTTATTTTATTTTTTTATTTTATCCATTTACAAGAATGGAAAGGTGAAGGAAATTCTCTAAAATTGAAAACATACTAAATTAAATGAACCCTAGAAAATTTTTAGCAAGCAATAACAGTCCAGAAGAAAAGTTTAAAAAGAAAAAAAATCATCTAAGTGATTTATGGTTGCAATGTGAAATTGGGCAGGTAGTGGCCTGCAAGCATGTCTAATATCTTCATTATATTTTATTTTTGGGTAGAAGTGAATCACTCTGAAACTATTATAATTGTATTGAAAAGTTGAATAGAAAAAATCATAATGCCATTTATAGCCAAGTGTTTTACTCTTAAACAGTGTATACACAAATACAAATGAAATTATATGTATATGTGTTTATGTATATATTTTCACTAATTTTAACTGCTGGGAGGAGCCAGGAACAGAAAGTTGAATTATTAAGGAACACATCTTAGGCTTAGGTTTTGGGCCTACTAAAGTTCTCCATGAAAATGAAATAAACTGAGGAAAAATATCTCTCAAATTAAAACTAACCATTTTATTGTAATGGTTAATGAGAGGAAATGCTCAAGAAACTAAAGAAAACGTTATTATGATCAAGAGGTAGGCAGAAATTCTTAATGGTTCCATTTGAAGACCAAAATAAGTATGAGAATAGTATTTATTCATAAAGCACTGCAAAAATTAAAATATTATCATAAATGGAAAGATGGCAAATAGAAAGCTAGGTACAGATAGAAAATAGCTGGCTAGACAGAGATGTAATGAAGGGGTCTCGGTTACAGTTGAATATCTAGTGAAGAAAGGTAAATCTGAGGCTGGATCTGTAATGCTGCATTCTAAATCCTCAAGGGAAATTTTGGTTCAGAGTAGGATATTTGTATAATCATAAAAATAGATCTGTACAATGATGAAATAGTGTAGCAACTTGAAGGACTCATCAAAATTAAAATACCAAAGGCCGGGGACTGAGATCAGTGGTTCCAGCACTGCCTCACAAGCTCAAGGACCTGAATTTGATCCCTGGTATAAAAAAGAATGAAAATACCAAAAAATACATAGATGGTCATGAAGTTGCAGAAGTGCTTGACTAGTAAAGAAACACCGTCACTTATCAGGACAGCTGGAAATACATAAACTGAATGTCATCAAGAGGAAACATTAATGAGTGGAGAAAATTCTATAAAGTTGATGGCAGTGGTATGGTGTAGTTTTCTAAAATATCAATTTCACAGGAGATGAAGAAAGCCCATGGGAAGTGATTCTAAGTAAAAGCACAAAAACAGAACAAACAAATAACATTGAACAGAATGCAACACTTGACTTTAGAGTAGATCTTGATCTAGGTCAATTTACAAGACAAAACTATACCCAACAGAGTAAAAGAAGTATAACGTTATGCTAAATTCTAACATTTGATAATGTACTGTAGTAATAATATGAGAATAACTCTTCTAAGAAAAATAAACCTTAGGGTATTTAGTAGAAAAACTCTATGATTTACCCAAGCTATCCTCAGCTGAGCAACTCGCCCACTGCTGTTTCTTGAATATACCAGGCAGACCCTCAAATCAAGTTTCCTAACTGTGGCTCCTGCTGTAAGGAAGCCCTTTCTCCAACACAGCTGTATGATTTATTCCCTTACTTTTTCAATTGCTTACTTAGCGACCTGCAGACTTCTGGATGAGAACTGTTCTCATCACCCTATTTCCAATCACAGCCTGCTTCTCAGAACCCACTGTGAGCTTTGTATCTCTTTATCCCAGCTGACTCTTCGTGTAGTATGCAATTAACTAAATTCACTTTCTTATTCTCAGTTCCACATTCTAAAATGCAAATTCCACAACAGCGTAGATTTTAAATCTATCTTGTTCTTTGCTGTGGACCTGCTCACCTAGAGTATTGGCTATCCAGAAGGCGTGTTCGATAAACCTATGGTGATATAACGATCCTTGGTTTTGTTTGATATTTGGAATAAAATAACGTGAACATTACTTCTAGCAATAACTGAAACAAACTTTCATTACATAATGGAAATTATTAGCTGGTTATATTGTACTAAGTTTTCTCTAGGATGAGGTAAAGTAATGGAGCAAAAATAAAAAAGGAACCGGAGCTGATGAAACTGAAACAATCATTTCTTTGTGTTCTTCATTTATTTATTTATTTTTTGCCTCTTAGATCCAATCTGTTAGAATTAATAAATGGAAGAATTCACAGATTTTATTCCTAATAATATTTTCTCTCTTCCACTTAATGGGTATGAAGCGTGTTGTAAGCCAGTATGAAATTTGATAAATAATTATTTCATTTATTCTTTCTTTTTGATACTGGGGACCGAACTTGCGCTTGCAAGGCAGGCAGCAGAAGCACTGAGACAAATCCCAGGCCCTTTCTCATTTCTTCTTGTTTTTATACTGTGGAGTACAAGCAAAGAATCAGAATATTGGAAAATTTGCTATGATGGCAAAACAAGAATAAAAAGCCCTAATCTTAAGGAAATATGTTGAAATATAAATTTATGAGAGCACATAACAAAATAACATTTCCAAGCAACAAATTTATGGATTTAAATTATTATTTGAAAAACAATTTTGATACATTAATCATTGCAGTGATTAAACTTGATTTGAAAACTGCTAGGTACTTAGGGAATTATTAAATAAGTAATCTTTATGATCTCACTGAGATTACACTATCAAAAATGCATAGATTAAACAATTCAATTAGATGTATTTAAAATAAGTGTGCATTATTTTTATGTCTTGTGCCTTCCTTAGTTTTATTTTCATTGCCTGTGGTTTTTGGTGTCAGACCCAGAAAATTTTTTTCTCAGCCAAGGTATTATTTCTTCATTTTTCTAAGATCTTTTTAATGTTGAATATTTTATCATTCATTCATTTTTAATTTACTTTCATTTTCGATCTAAAAGAAGGTCTAATTCTATTCTTCTGCAGGTGCATATCCACTTTTTCCAGCCCCATGTATTGAAGAATCTTTTCTTTCCTCATTGAGTGTCCTCCATACTCCATAGACAAGGTAAAATAAACTTCTGGTGACTATACCATTCCTATGTAGGTCATTCAGTTTTGCTGAAAACATAAAAATAGGGTTTCAAGGTACAATCCTTGGAGATTTGCAAAATGTTTATTAAAAATCTGCCAAATTTCAGTTAGGCAGAATAAATGAATTAAAAAATCCGGCAGTAAATAACATTGTACTGTATATTTGAAAATAGTTAAGAAAGAAAGTAGATTCAACCGAAAAAAAGAAGGAAAAAAACCCTAGATCCAGGTCGGGCAATACAGGCCTATAATCTCAGCACTCAGAAGGATGAGGCAGAAATCCCTCCATGAGTTTGAAACCAGCCTGGGTAACATAGTGACTTCGAGGGCAGACTGAGCCACATAGCAAAACTCTGTCTCAAAACAATAGATAGATGCATGGATAGATAGATAGATAGATAGATAGATAGATAGATAGATAGATAGATAGATGCGGTGCTGTAACACAAAAAATGATATGTGAAAAAATGAGTACAGTAGCTCATTGAGACATTACATAGTATAAACATATATCAAAATACCCTGTTGTATAGCATAAATGTATAATACTATCACATCAATGTAAAAATAAAAATAATAATATACAAATAAAAGCAAAGAGTGTCATGCCCAGATGTTGTATTACCTAAATAACTATCAAAATGCTAGTGATCAAAAAAGTGTTTAAGACAAATGCAATAAATTAAGAAGAAAATTCTCATGGTATTTATTTGTAAGACATATTGAACATTTCATGGAGTTCTGGAGATAAATTAAGACATCCCTAAAACAAGGAACCACCTTAAAATAGTAGATAGACTGGTTACATGCATGGCATCAGTAGGTCTACTCAAAAGATTCGGGGTGTTGCACTGTCAGTGTCATCTTCAACTGTGGATTGGGTAGAATTTATTCTCTCTTTTGAAATAGTTCGGAGTACAAAACAATATGTTTTCTACGTATCCCAAAAGGTCCTTGATCAGAACCAAACAACTAGAACTAATCGAGCAAATAGAAGTATAGTTAAAACAGAACAAAGACAGAATCAGAAGCTTTATTCCCGGGGACCTGTTTTATTAGAGTCAATTACATTTTTATCCAAATATTTCATGTTTCTAAAGGTGATCTTTTATTTCTAATGAGTTCTTCAACTAACAGTACCGAGACTCATGACTTATAAAGACAGTATACACTGTGGTGGACTGAATTTTTGTTGTATTATGTTTTTTTCAATTTTCTTACAATTATTTTACTGAAGTAATTGTATTCCTGTTGCTATGTTTTTTTCTAATTTTTATTATTTTATATTGATTTAGAGGGAAGTAACTATGCATTCATGGAAACTACAGCTTTTGATAACCTAAGAGGAAAATCATTATCTTTTCAGACAATATGACTCTGAGAGTGTGCAAATAAAGTGTTAAAGACAATATGACACATAAATATATAGACACGCATGCATATGCACTTGCATATCCTGGAAGGAAACTTAAATATTGAACATTAAAATTGCTCAGAAGGCAACAACTTAGATGAGTCTGCCTCCTGGTATGGCTGAGCTCACTTATGTGTGTGTGTCAGCCCTAGTTCAGATATGCTTTTTTACTCACCTAGACTGGATTTGCTCATATTTTTGAGTCCTCTTGCTGTGCATTCACTTAGGATGTCTTTGTGTAAGTTTCCTGCGTTTAATTGAGTTTTTCTAAGTGCGTCTCTTTCTCTTGCAAGATGTTCTGTACTGTTCAGGAGTATTTCATAGACTGAATTCTGAGAGACCCTACAAAACAGTGGTCTTAAATTTTACCCAAGAGCTAGCAAAGCAACAGTTCCACTACATTCTGTTGGTCAAAGCAAGTCAGGAAGACAGGTCAGATTCAAACTCTCTACTCCAAATAGCATTTCTCAAAAAAGGACCTTTCAGATGCTGATCAGCATATATGACTGTCAGAAGACTAAATGATTATTTAAACTTACTATTTTTTGTTTTGTTTTGTTTTTGGTGCTGAGGATTGAACCCAGAACCTTGTGCTTGCAAGGCAGGTGGTGGCACCACTGAGCTAAATCCCTGGGCCTAGACTTCCATTTTTTAATGTGTGCTTTTCTTTTTTTTTGGGGGGGTACTGGGGATTGAACTCAGGTCCTTGTGGTTGCAAGGCAGGCCACTGAACCGCTGAGCTAAATCCTAGGCCCTTCTTTTCTTTTTGGGGGGAGAATGTAAATTTAGGATTTTGATCATCATAGTAACTCTAGCATATAAAATAATTTAAAGCACATAAGAGGTACTCAATTTTATATTTACTCAATGTCTCTGTGGAGGTTCCCTAGCTGTGCAGGAATGCTTTTCACACATCAAAAAGCATTATCATTATTCTCTAGCAGGGAACTACTTCTAATCTAGTACTAAAAAGGGAGCAGGAGGGAAAAACAATAAAGCAGATTCTATCATATATGAATATAGGTGAAAGCATTGAAAAATGACAGAATATGCACCTGAACATATCAGATCACTCACTTATTCATTAACAGAAACATTTGAAAATAGTAAACTTTAGATGCTCTTTCAATTAGTAAATTATTCATTATAGTTTATGTAATCGGAAATTCTATTTTTAAACACACTTTCACTTTAAGAAATAAGGCTAGATTGGTTAAGTGTTAGTTTTATTCTAACGTCTGTAGTTATCCTTCTAGGGAGGCTAAAATAAATTATTCACCTGAAATGGAAGAATATTTAATACATTTTGATCGCTTCTATTCTGTGAATCATCTCTTTTGCATTGTAAAAACGTTAATGCCTCTCCCCACCCTGAATAATTTATGTACTCTTCCTAGTCTTAGCCCCAGCATAATAAATGTTCTGCATTCCTGGCAAGCTGAAGATCATGTTCAATGATTCTGTTAGAGTAAGTGATTTGCCATGTGCTTCTAAGTCATCTGCCTACTAATTATCAACAAGACTGTCATTCAAGCAGTGCAGTCTAAACCTTTTTCAGATATCTTATTGATCTGCATGAGTTAGATTTCCATCAAAGATTGTCAGGCAAATATAATGTTTACCTCCTTTATTTCTCTAAACAAGAGAACTTCTGTTCTGAATGGATTTAAGAGAGTGCTCTGGAGGAGGGCTGGCCAAAATTTTATACAGCTGTAAACTCTAAGAGATATTTAAACCCTAGCAAGGGATTTTTTTCCTTTAACATAGAGTTTTCTTGTATGCACACTGAGAATAGTGAAGATTTTACGGTTAATTAAGACAGTGTCTGAGGCACAGAAATTCCTCCATGAATTTAGTCACTATGCAACAGGATTATACATTTACATAAATTCAAAGGTGAATAATATTATATTAAAATTAAGAGTATATGTTGAAAGGAATGTTACTGCATAGAATTAATAAGTTAAGGCAAAGAATAATATTTTTATGATTACAATAGAAAAATGAAACAAAAAGGTATTATCCAGTACATGCCCCGCTTCCTTAGTAGAGAAAAAAAAATTAAGTCTCAAAATAGATTTACTTGCCTCCTTAAAGAAATCAGCCCAAAGCGCAGTGCATGGTGAATGTAACCCCAGGCAAGGAGAAGATAATTGTGAGAGCAGATTGTATGAGCACAGGCCTGTAGATACTGGGTTATGTTCACTAGATGAACTGCTGAAATGACAGACAGTTGCTCAATAAGTCCTTTTCAGGAAATACATGGAGAAAACCAAAGAGAGTTTGTTTTTCTTGTGTTAAAATAATCTATGTATCATTCCAATCACATGTTTGCTTTAATTGAGCTGTTTAAAACATACCCAAAACTGCAAAAAGAAAAGACGTCATAGCTAACAAGTAGCTGTACCGCAGGGCCAGGAACTGTAGAGAGTAGTGTCAGAGCACAGGGAAGAAGAGCCACCCTGCAGAGAACTTCAGTGTAGCAAAGCAAGGTTCTGGGACTCACTGACAGCAGGGCAAAAGAGAGGGCGGGAAAGAAACAATACTTTCAGAGCAAGAACACAAAAGATGAAATTAACAGCAGAAGGGAAGGAAGGCTGAATATTCACTGGATAATAAGAAAATACTGACAAGAGTAGTAAAAGCACGGTGAATGTTGGCACTGATTGACCAAAAATAGTCAGCATCAAGATGGGCGCATAAATGTATGAAAGGAATAATTCTGAGAAATGATCAGTGAAATGAACACAACATTATGCTTCTTAAAAAGGTGACAGACATTAACATTGTATTGTTGTGAATTCTTGTTCTTGATGAAATAAGGTTACTCAGAATGATCCTATCCATCTATCCAATTTTCTATCAATTAAATGTCAATCAATCAGATCAGTAGAGTAGTCTAAAGAATATTCACAAGCTAGTAAATTTAGGGCATGCATATAACGATTTCATTTCATTTGAAATATGTTTGTATAAACATATTTAAAATGTTTGCTTGTATTTAAAATTATGATTATATATTTATTTGTGATGCTAATAACTAACTTGATATATTCTTTGAAGTCTAATGATGACCCTGATTATAGCTCAAATACAGTATTTATAGGTTCACTTATCCAGCAGATCAGTGTATTTGATGCCTACTGAGAATTTATTTTCCATTATTAAGTGTAACACTGTAAAGAGGTTAGTTTCACTAACCACATTTCACTGGTAATTAACATTCACAGTTACAATAAAATAATTTTCTTTCTTACTATAGTATCCACCCAAACATACATTAAATAATAATATTTATACTTGTTGGTATAATTTTCTGTATACTTATGCATTTATTTGACAGTATAAAAATTAAAGCTCTAGGGCCGGGGATTTAGCTCAGCGGTTCGGTGGCCTGCCTTGCAAGCGCAAGGAACCGAGTTCTATCCCCAGTACCAAAAAATAAATAAATAAATAAAAATTTAAAAAAATTAGACTTAAAATTAAAGCTCTACTATTCTAATCAAATTATTATTATTTTAAAATTAATATTCAAAATAAGGTAGATAGGT